GCTTAACGGGCAACTATTACCATTTAATTTGTCGATAACATCAAAATTTAACAAGCAGTTTATTTGAATTTGCCATTTGTATGTTCTTTGAACTTAGTTCACAATGAAAAAGACCAAAACATACTTGAGGCAGTTGTGTCGACCACTGACGGTGAACAGCAGAACCGTGAAGTAGTGTTGCTAAATACTTGAGCCCAGCAATTCAAAGATGCATTGGCGCATGTTGTTGTACATTCTGGAAACTTAAAGCAGTCATTCTCGTTTACTACTGGCGGAACGCTAGTGGTAACTTTAACGTATTAGCAGCTTATAGAAATGAGGTGCTCGTCGTCAGTACTTCAAACTGGGACTTGTTGGGGCTTGGACAGAAATGAGGGATACAATAACCCTAGTTAAAAGTTAACGAGGATATTAAAAACTAGCTCTGATTTATATTTTATTAAGCCCTCTGCGGTTTGAGAAGCAAACCTCTCAATTTGTGTAAATTTTTCAATAGATATTCATTTATATTTATCATTACTTCTCATATTGTATCACTTCCACGTTTACTGAACTGTACCACCTAAAATTTGAAACTATTTTTAAAATCCTCAGTCTTTGTCATATTTTTATAGACGGTCTTTCTTCAGAAGAAAAAAAATAAAGTTCTAGGAAGTACACATGATATTGTATTAAAAGCTTCGAAGAATCTTTTAGCATAAGTCTTTTAAGTCTGTTTAAGAACAGATTATAGTGTTATTTCGGTAAAAAAAAAGCTTGTAGCTAAGTTTCACATGGGTTTTTTTGTAGCCTTTTTTCAGCTTTCGGCCTTCTTTATTTCAAAAGAATTAAAGAGACTTATTTTACTGTAACTATAAAATTCAACTACTGAAGCATTTTTCAAGGCATAACTGGTCCAAATTATTTAATATTTGAGAAGAAAATAGTTTTAAAATGAAAAGTTTTGATAATCTAGATACTTAGAAAGTGTAGTGAGGAAATGGTGCTTAGGAAAGAGAATAAGTCGTAACAAAACCTATAGTTTCAGAGACTTGTTCCTGTCGTTCACTTCCTTTGACTTAAGACATATCGTTGAAACAATTAACTGTTACAAGACTAAGTATGCAAAAGTTTTTAGTAATTCTTCAGTTCACTTGTTATTCTCTACTAAAAGCTAAAAGAAAAAATTTTTTATGAGCTTATTTACCGAGAGAGGGAAAAGTTGAGTTTGTTTTCTTCCAAAATATCATTCTTCTTACTTCGGTCAACAAAAAACAAATCAAATTTATCCTTCAAAGAACTTTTGGTCGTTTCAACAAAAGCAGTTTCGGCTTATAGGATTTTTTTTTTCTTGAAACTTACATCTTATAAAATTATTTCTGAGTTTCTAATTTTGAAATTTACAGATTTTTTACCTGTTTGTCATTCTGCAAATCACAAAAATTCAATTGTTCATTTCAGTTTAAAAAATTTTCAATAATAAGACTTATTTTAAATCATTTCTTGTTCTACCATCATTTAGTCAAAGTATAAAAAGATGATTTTGCT